AGACTCGCAAATGGGTACATGAAGGTATGCATCCCGGATATCGATGGAGGCCAGCAGATCCCCCTGACGGAGCCATGCCACCACGGACCGGATGGATTCCATCCGGAACCGACGGACCCGCACGAAGGTGTTCAAGCGTTTGAGGTCCAGGATGGGCCGTACCCCCTCACCGTAGCAGAGTCTGCATGCGCTCGTCGGTCACCCAGGGGAGACTACAAGGATCTACAGTCATCCAGCCTGTCGCCCTGGGGACATTTGCTAGAAGAAAATCCAGTCAAACGGAAGAAAGGAAAAAAATTCTCCAGAGAAATTTTTTTAGCTCCTTACTCCTGACGCTAGGCAAAAAACTGGAGACTTGTCAGCAGGTGGGGGGTTTGGCCACCGGCAGGGGCCGCCCCTAGGCTGTAATTGGTCTTTAGTTTTGTGCCTAGCGTCCTTCTCCTGCAGGTGGCGATATTACCCTACCATTCAGGATCTACGATCTGTTGCCTGTGTCCTTCAATGAACGGGAGAGAAATGTGCAGCTTACCTTTTTTTTATTTTTTTTTGGTTGTTCTTTGTGCTAAGTCCAAGATTGAAAAGTCCTGCTTATGTAGGGTATACACTGTTATATTTTCTTCGTTCAACCTGAGGGCTAAAAGAAGAAACTATAAACAGATTCCTCCATTCACGCTAAGCAGCGTGGATGAACAAATCCCCTGCTGTTTCCATTGTACTTTGACAACGGCTGAACAATGGTTTAGGACCTTGGTTCTCAACTGGTGGGTCGTGACCCAAAAGTGGGTCACAACCCCGTGTTCAGTGGATCGCAACGACATGTTCAGTGGGTCGCCACGAGCCTTCCACTTTTCTAGGTGAGAAGCTTCTCAGCCTCACCCGGGCGCAGCACTGTCCATTCTCACACCGAGCAGCCGAGTGTCAGCTTAAGGTGGGGGTGGGCTGGAGCTATGGCCACGAGGGAGCTCCATCCATACATGCATTGCTTACAGCTCCCTCACAAGTCCTGTAGAAGTGCCTGGACCCGAGTGACGTCACGTTCTGGCTCCTAGCACCTCTACAAGGCATGCAAAGAGGTTGTACAAGCATTGCACAAATGGATGGAGTTCTGTCACAGCACAGTAACCCACAGGCTGAGGATCCACTCCAGTTCTCGTAAAGTAGGGAGACTGGGTGGATCTTGAAATAAAATTAAGTGTATATGTGTGTGTGAGATTGTGTGTGTCTGTCAGTATTTTTGAGAGCCTGTTCACAGTAGTACAATGCATTAATAGAACAGTCCTGTGCGATTAACGCACCGTACCATGAAATCGCATCTACTACGGTGTGGGAGGTGCATTGTGTTGTCATTCATTTGAATGGCACCCCAAACGCACCTCCGCCCACAGTTCAATCGCCCGCACAGGAACACTCGGTATTACAATGCCGTGCGTTCCATTGAAGTGCGAATTGGATCACAACTTAATGACCAAGGACAAATGTGGGTCCTGAGGTTACACAGGTTGAGAACCACTGGTTTAGGATATCCCCGACCTTTTTCAAGGTAACTGGTGTGCGTGTACTCACTGAACACCCCTCATTCAATAAAGTGTCAAAAAACAAAAATGGCATACAGTGTGGCAAATAATGATTTGATCCTCTGCAGATTTAGTAAGTTTGCCCACTTACAAAGAAATAAAGGGTCTATAATTTTTATCATAGGTGTATTTTAAATGATTAACCAAAAATCCAGAAGAAACACATGATACAAATGTTATAAATTGAGTTGCAGTCAGTGTGTAAAAAAAGTATTTGCTCCCCAAGCAAAACATGACTTAGTACTTGGTGGAGAAACCCTTGTTGGCAAACACAGAGGTAAGGCGTTTCTTGTTGGTGGTCACCAGGTTTGCACACATCTCAGGGGGGATTTTGGTCCACTCTTCTTTATAGATCGTCTCTAAATCCTTAAGGTTTCTTGGCTGTCGCTTGGCAACTCAAAGTTTCAGCTCCCTCCATACATTTTCTACAGGATTAAGGTCTGGAGACTGGCTAGGCCACTCCATGGCCGTAATGTGCTTCATCTCCACTGCTTTGTTGCCTTGGCGGTATGTTTTTTGGTAATTGTCATGCTGAAAGACACTTTTACATAACTAGTTGTCGTTAGGAGCACCTTCTTAAAATTGACAGGACTAATTTGTGTACCACATAGCCAGTCTGTGGGAGCCAGAATTATTGTTGGTTGGTACGGGATCAAATGCTTATTTTACTCACTGAACTGAAACTCAAATTTATTACATTTGTATCATGTGGTTTTTCTGGATTTGTGGTTGATATTCTGGCTCCATCATTTAAAATGCACCTATGATAAAAATGATAGACCTTTCATTTCTTTGTAAGTCGGCAAACTTACAAAATCTGCAGGGGATCAAATCATTATTCGCCACACTGTGGTGCGCAGCACAAAAATGTTTTGGTAATTTTATGAATATGTACAGGTGGTAAGCATGCATTTTACTATGTGCTTTTTTGCTTTATAATACAGATATGCACACATTTCTTTAGCTGCAGCATAATTCACCTGTCCCTATGACATGGTACAAATTATACGTTTTTTCCCTCCAAAAGATAATTTTAACCTTTAATCTGTGCAAAAAATGTAAAATGTTCCTTACCCATCCAATATAGACTCTCGACAGCAGTACAAGTTGTCAAATTTCTGCTTGGTTACAGAGTCATTCACATTCATGGCAGGGACACAAAGCTTACCAGCCTTGGATAATTGATATAGCCTGTAGAGTAGCAGAAGATAAAAATAGTTTATGTATGCAGTTATAGCTAAATGAAATAAGTGAATCTATACCAAGAAAGTTTCAAAAGTTCACAAACTTAACAATAGATTTTAAGTGAAGCTGAACCATGACAGAGAAGTTATTTTAGTAAACAGAAAACGACACTAAATTGCAGGTATAATATAGATTAAAAAATTCAAGGGCCAGTATCAGCTTTTAGTATCAAGGCTTTTTCACGAGTACGAGTGCTTGGGAAAATGCCCAGTATCGGCAGATACTAGCTTTTGTATCGGATATCTAGCTTTTTTTCCACAGGAAAAAGGAGGGAGAATCCTTAACTGGGATAGTAGTAGCCCTGTAAAGTGAAAAATAGGTGGGTCCATTGAGAAAGTCCACTTTCTTTACAAAGTAATCTGTTGCAAGCACTATTTTGATCGCACCGCACCGAACTGCAGGCACAATATGCCTTGCGATCCCGTGCGGGCGATCGCATTGCGGACAGAGGGCGTGGCTACGGTGCCATTCACTTCAATGGCCCGCCACGCTCTCTCCTGCCCCACAAAAAAGAGAGCCGGCCGCAATGCGATGCAGTGCGTTCCGGCCAGAGTCGGACCGGAACGCACTGCATCTAGTGTGAACGTACCCTTAAGCTTATATTTGCGTTTCTCTCCTGTTTGTAAACACGCTTAAAGCTGAATATGCCTAAAAAACACATTAATAATGCTTTACAAATGTGCATAAAAACGATTTTAAAAAAATGCTTAAAACACACACAATAAAAAGCCTGATAAAAAGCCTAAAAATGCTGATGCTGAGGTGTGAATGAAGCCTTTCTTTGTGCTTCTAAACTGTATGTAGTAGTAAAACCAAAGCAAAAATGTAATCATATATTGCAGACTCCAAACCTTACTGACCTGTGCACTCCAGTCACACTTTCCTCCACAACGCCCCGAATCTTTTTATAAACATTAGGATATTTCTTGTAAACCCAATGAGTTAAATCCCCGCCATCATCAAGGATCTAGAATATAAATAAGGTATTTTGAAGATTATTAATATCTACAAAGACGGGGGAAAAAGGAGTAACGCAAAAAGATATAATAGATAAATTATTATGGAGAGAGCCCCTGGGTTTCACAAAATCGTATGCAAAAAGCCCCTAAAAGGTGCACACTGGATTGAGTGGAGTTCTCACTCGTGTATATTTCTCCAGTAGCAGCCGGGCTTTGGATCGAGCACTTTATGGGATATTTTGCCCGTGGAACACAGTTTACCACTGTCCCATTGTGTGGCCGCACTCACAGGGGGAACTACCGGGCTATCCTCTGCATAAGTGTACGGTGATGCCGGTCTTGGTCAACCTTTGAAAGAAAAACCACTTGGATTACAAATATATATATATTTTTTTTAAAACACCATCAGGACATCCAACATGCAAATGGGGACTCTCTTTCTTGTGGCCAATTGAATGAGTGAGTAATTCCATCATTGCTGATACAACTGTATCCATTGCGCCACAACTGAGTGTTTATACCAGTGACTGTTGACTGTTGCTTTATTCTGCGGGCACTTTAACCCTTGCTTTACTCCTGATCACTCTGTCCTATATTTGGGTCATCATAGGGAAGCTACATGTGGTTTTAAATGTTATGTGTGAGGTGATATATGTTTAATTAAAACTTTTTGCTAAACTTTACCTTGAATACTTGTTTATTGGAGAGCTCCACTTATGGGATTTCAGTGTCAGCGGGTTTTCGCTTTTTGCATACTATTTTGAAGATGAAGAATACGATTTGTGTCAACTTACATAGAAACATTGGAAGAAAAAAAGCTCACATATCCTCATGCACTAACATCTGAAACCTCAGTAGGTACAGGAATATCTGCAGCAGTGGTTATAAGTTTCCACACGTCAACAGTGTAAAGCTTTCTGAAATTGGACTATATACTAGACATGTGCATTCGTTCTCTGACATTTGGATAAATATTGGCATTTTCAGACATTTGAATGCTTCCTAATGTCCAAATGAAACCAATAATGAATTCAAACTTATGCTAATTTTGATAACGAAAATTCGGATGTGGATGCATGCAAATTCTGTCCCAATGTCGTTAATACTGTTAAACTTTGGGGGGGGGAGCAGTCATCCAGTCATCCGTTGCAGACATCTGCAGCTCCCTATACTATGGGTACCCTATATTCTACCTTGCTCAGCCTCCTGTAACTGTGCCAGTGAACATAGCATTGTGTATAAGTCTTAGGGGCAACTGATAGGCCTGTTTGCCCTGAGGGAACCGGTACTGCTATGGGTGAAGTTACACTAAGCCAGCTATATTCCCTGATTACTCATACAGGAGTATTATATGCCCTAGAGGGTATCCCCTGTTCCATTCGGCCACCTTATTCTGCAATGTCAATCCAGTATCATTTTGCCAACTACTCTGTGTCAACAGAAGGTTTATTACCCTGGCAGTAGTTTTGCCTAGTGTCACTATGACAACAGTTGTTACTTTCTATACATGTGTTAGAAAGCAATAACATAACCCAATTTTGTAAAAAAAAAAAAAAACATCCTATTTTTTGCTGCAAGAAGCTTTATTATTTCTTTTAGCAAAAGCTTGGTTTCACATCAAAATAGCCAACTTCTCATCTTTCTTTTTCCCCAATATAAAGTATAAACCTGATACAATTATTAAAGGAGAACTATGTGGTTAGGGCTTTTCCCCATAGTTCTCCTTAGGGTAACGGGAGGACACAAACTAGCGAGTGACAGCTGGCTCTGCATATCTAGAGGCAGAGCCGGCTGTACCCGCCCCCTCCCCTGTCCGTTCCGCCAGTCAGCGCTGAAGGATCGGAGCAGGGAGGTGGGAATCCAGCCACTCCCCCGTCACGGCAGAGAGCTGTGACAGGGGCGAGAGGTGAGCGAACGCCGGTAGGGGTTCGCTCACCTCCCGATCTACTAAGCTGACCTGTGACAGTCAGTTGTCACTCATTGTCACAGGTCGGCAAGAACTATGAGGTGAGTGAAAAGCACTCACCTCATAGTTCTCCTTTAATGTACAGGCATTTTCCATATACATAGTAGTCTCACAAAATACACAACAACACAACAACAGAGGCTCTCTTTATCTTTCTCATTCCCAAATCCTCTGTTAGAATCTGCCACACTGTTTCCCTGTTCATGTTCAATTATTCTGCCACCATCAATCTTCGATCTGAGCTTATGAGGGATCACACTCTGTCCACATTTGCATCCGTCCTTTGCGTTTTTGGCTGCCCACTGCTGGCATCATCGTGGACATCTTCCCGCCCCTCCTTAAGCTGCCTATGCCATTCATAAACACTTGATTTCTTCATGGAATATGCACCATAAGCCTGTTGTAACAGAGCTAAAGTTTCACTTGCACTTTTGCCAATTTGCACGCAAAATTTGATCTTAATCCTCTGCAATCTCCACCAACAGCGCAACGCACACACGTGTTACTCAGTAAGGACTAAGTCAACTGGCCTGCGACCTAGGCGAGTGCAAGATAGAACATGTCAGATCACGCTCGAGTGGCAGCATTCAGTCTTTTGAAGTAGGAGTCTATCATCATCTTGCCTTGGGAATCTTTGCCCAATCTTCCTTGTGAAATTCCTTTTCATCTTCAGCTTTTTAGCAGGTCTGAAGGTTTTGTGCCATTCGGAAATACTCCTAAGTCCCCCCACCTTGAAAAACCACCAGTTCCAGCTGAAGAAAAACAGCCCCGACGTCCGACTCCCGTCATTTACAGTATTATGCCGACACCAACATGCTTTACTGTTAATATAGTGTCCTTTTGGTGATGCACAGTTTTGGTGATGCACAGTTTTTGCATGGCACATCTTGCCTTGGGAATCTTTGCCCACTCTTCCTTGCAAAAGCACTCCAAATCTGTCAGATTTAATTTCACGTCCACTTTAGTGTGAGCCCATCACTTGTAAACATTTAGATGGTATGTTTTTCAGTACATTGTGGAGAAAAAGTGTAATTTTACAGCCAAGCAACAAGCATTTGCAGAAGAAGTCAACAAAGCAGACTTCATGTTTCCCATAAAGAAAAACTCAAGGAAAACTTGCAATGGGGCTACCCCTGCGCTGCAAGGGTTAAGTGCTCGTTTGTGTCTAGGGAGAAAAACAACAAAGATATACTAACCCGAAGTTCTGAACCTGCCAGCTGTCACAGCGCTCCCGCCTTCCTGTCTCCTCCTCCTCAGCAGCACTGGAATCCTCCTCGGTGTCCTCACATCTATACACAGTGTATAGACGTGATGATTTACAGGGCCTTAGACCGCTGCAGAGGAGGAGGAGAGACTCTTGAAGGACCAGTCTAAGAAGAAGCCAGCTCAGAGCATTGGGTGAGTATAACTTTTTTTTTAACCTAGGCACAAACAAGCACTTAACCCTTGCAGTGCAGGGGTAGCCCCACTGCAAGGGTTAATACAAAAAAAATCCTGGAGTCCTTTAAGTTTTCTTTAATTGGTAAGCTATAGTGACAGAACTATCAAACATTTGAACGTACACAGTGTTTACAGTGTGCAACACTGCTCATAATTAACATTTATAATGTAAACAAGAACCGCTAACTTGGACATACCATGTTTGCCTGCCAATCACTATTTCCATTGACACATCGATCGATACACCACCAGAAATCGTCTTCTGATTCACCTTTCCATGCAAAGACTGCAACACCTACCAAGGAGCAAAGAAATGCAAGTTAGATCTGTAAAAATGTCTTGCATAAACAAGCAGCATGCGCATCAATTGATAAACATGGTTCTTTTACAGAGTGTTTCACAAAGGCTTGATAAATCTCTGGTAAAACAAACAAATACACAAGCTTAGGCAACATTCTTCCTATTCTGAATCTGCTGAACAAATTATTTGCTAATACGTGTGAGGGTTTTTTTGGGTTTTTTTTTTTAACAGACCCTAAACATTGAGGCAGAATTATAGAGCAAAAGAAAAAAGACTAGTCTGCCTCGCGTCAATAAACATACCTTGCTGTGAGCACTAATAGTATACTACCTATATCCAATGTAAATAAATGCAGTTGCTGCGCTTGAAATTATAACAATATAAATCAAGATAAACAAACAATCACATACATATAAGTGAACAACAGTGAAAATTAGGTACACAATACGAGATTAATACATTTCCTCTAAAGTCTGAAAAGTGAACATATGCTGCTTAGTGAAACGGTCAATCCCAATCCAGTGAATACTGTGGCTAACTAACACAGTACACCTCCCAAAGGTCACATTCCAGGCTAGCCCTGCAATATTCAGTTCAGTGGGGACAAGATATTGCCTCCAAAAGCTATTGCTGTGGATACGTGGTTCCGGATATAAAGAGACTAGATCAAGCAATATTTTCAAACTCTTGCTTGAAGTCAGAGAGGGAGGGTTTTCTGATGGTTATAACAGTGGACCATGTCTGAGTTATGGGTGTTGAACCAGCCACTTGCAGTCTCCATCGGAATCCCTTGTAGCACAGGAGCCCATGTGGGACAAAGGGATCGAGCATTGTCACCCTATAACCCAAAGTGCCTGGCAAGGACTGTCAGGGCAAGATCACCAGTATTATTTTGATACATTCTGCAGATTACAAATGATTGAAAATGACTTTTCGAAATTACTTCAACAGGTTAAATATTATGAGATTTTCGTGATTGGGTTTATTTTGTGTTATCCAAACTCAAAGGGTATCAGTAAAACCTAACAATCTCTACCCAATTATTAGCCATTAAACTTAACCTAGATTTAACCCTTAAGCTTAACTGTTCGCCCCTAAACCCTAGTGGTGGCAGGTCTCTGGCAAAAGATTAGCTTCAAACATGCATCATGGTGAAAAGAGTCAACATGACAAAAACTACAGTATCCTACCAATAATCGCTTTGAAAAATCTATTATCGTAACAAAAATAAACACAAAATAATCATAAAATATATCTGTGCCAAATTCAATGCTTGCACATGCATAGCAAACAATTTATCAAGTTCTACAGTTTGAAAATAACCCAGTATGCAGAACCAAACTTACTCACCTGATTCAGCCAAGGCAGCTGCAACTTCATTCTGGGTGGAGTAGATATTGCAAGCACACCAACGACATTGGGCTCCAAGGGCACATAGAGTCTCAATAAGCACCTGTAATATATAAATATATATAAGTAAATGAGTATGTATCAGAATGAACATCAGAGGATGATGTATTCTTCACAATCTTGAAGGAATGATACTGAATAAAGTAGCATGCATAATTTTTTTCACAAAGTCAATCACAATGCTAAACAGAATAAAAATGCAGAAACCTGCTTTTAACTTTTTTTAAACTGTAGTTTTGCTCCAATATTCTTTTTTGTCAGCAAAGGCTTTTTTTCCTGACATACCTCCCATGCAGGTGAAGGCACACACTTTAACACCAACTTTTCAAAAGTTACTGTTGAGCACTAGACTACAGTGCTAGTGTGACAAGATAACAGGATTATGTCTTGCCTGTAAAATCCACTTCTTGTAGTACATTACAGGACAAAGGGAGTTACATTTTGAATGGGTGGGTTATGCAGCTACCTTCAGGTCCCTTGGCTATTAGGGCAGCCCTGTAAAACTCCTCCCACTCCCAGCCTGCCTCGGGTTTGCAGCAAGCAGTACAAAATTGGTTCAAAGAAACCAGAGGGGAGGCACCTGTACCCTATGATGTACTCCAAGAAACAAATTTTACAGGTAAGAAAAATCCTGTTTTTTTGATCATGCATCACAGGTCACAGAGAGTTAAATCTCGAATGGATGGGGCATCCAAACGCAGTCCAACAGAGGAGCAGGCAACACAGTAACCAATGGCTAACAGGCCTGCGAAAATAACAACAATAAACTGCAACAGGGAACCATAAGACGAGGAAGTCCGCCAATCAGTCGCCTGAAGAACCTTACGGCCAAAGCTAGCATCTGCAGAGGCCTGAATATCCACCTAGTAAAACTTTGCAAAGGTATGAACAAAGGACCAGGTACTCCACTACAGAGATCCCCTGAAACCGAAGTATAGCCAACACAGGGGACAGTATCTTGATGAAGACCTGAGGTGCAGTAGCGGGCCAAATCAAATAGCAACAAATTGGTAGGGTTGTCTGCCCACAACAAAATGTTGAAGGGCAGAATAAAATGGGCATGTGCTAATATGCATCCTTGTTGTCCACTGATACCAGATAGTGGTAGAAAGTGAAGTAAGGCTCAGGGGCCTATTTCAAGATCTTTAGTTGGGGAATAGGGCGGACTCCCAGCTTCTCCCTTTGCTTTGGAGACGGTAAACAGGTTTGAGCAAAATCCCTATAACTGTTCTTCTTCCAGTACAGGTACTATGATCCCCTAAGAAAGGAGCTGACCTAAAGCAGCAAGAAGATCCAACTGTCTTTGGGGTGATCTTGATAAGTTAGAAAGCAGAAAGCGAGAAGGAAGCAACAAGCAAAACTCCAGCTTGTAACCCTTAGTTACAACACTCTGGACCCAGGCATTGGGAATGGTCCAGGAGGCTGAAATACATCACCCCACTTCAGAAAGTGGAGGCACACCTATAAACTGAAGAGGCCTTCGAAGCTTGGAACGCACGAAAATAATCCTTCTTAAAGTAGGGAACAGAGGATTTAGCTTGCACTTTCTTGCTCTGCTCATGCCCCCATGACTTCCTTGATATACATATCCAAGGATACACGAAATAGGAGTTTCCCAGTAAAGGGTATGTATTCAATGTACTTCCTGCAAGAAAACTCTTCAGATCAGCATTTTAGCCACATAATCCATCACATATGAACAGACAGAAGACGCATCCTGGAAATTTGTCTATGGATATATGCCAGCCCACCTACACAGTAATGCAAGGCTGCAGGAAAACATTTTAGAGTGGCAGGAGCCCCATTGACCATACGGAGGGTCTTCTTGCCATGGTGCCAACATCAGGTTGCACACAAGCAGACCGAGAAAGATCAGAGGGGGATTCTCATCCCCAGTGGTCTGAGGACACTAAGAGTGCAGCCACATTCCCAATAAATTCTGCCATTACAGTGGTAAACTTGTTGAAGAGGGTAGAGTAGGGTACCCTGGAGGGTGCCGAGGAGGACCCTGAGGGGGTGGGGGTTAGAGAGGGGGGCACATAACCCTCCACAGAACAACTTTTCTGTCTCCCCTCACAGACTGTGAGACCCATAGAGCCTGTCACCCACATCGCCCCACGCCTATAATCCACAACTAGTGTGGAACCAGCACACAATGATCTTCCAAAGAAATTCAAACTTTATTCCACATGCATCTATACAAAGCACAACTGCTGACACGTTTCTGCCTTACTCGGCCTTAGTCATAGCTGGTTGTGAACTTACACCAACCCCACTAAAATAGCACGCCACGATTAAGGCTGAGTCAGGCAGAAACGCTGGTTGTGCTTTATATAGATGCATGTGGAATAAAGTTTGAATTTCTTTGGAAGATCATTGTGTGCTAGTTCCTCAGTTTTTGAGCCTATTACTCTGGAAGAGAGTCATCCATGCACCGAATGTGGATTGCGAGAGGGGCATGATAGGGGTGAGCTGTGCGCTTCGGTTTTCAGTATAATCCACAACTACCTGAGAGTTTTGACCACAGTACTCAATGCTGTGGAGGTGAATCCCCAAATTGACCCACAGGGGCAAAGAGGATAAACTGGGTACCTGAACAAGGACAAGCCCCTGACAATGACTCAGTGTTGGCTGACTCGGCAGCCCAATCACTTAAAAAGGAGACATCTAGTCTTCGCCTTCCTGGTGGGCATACTCCCCCAAAGGGGGTCTTCAGGGACAGGGCTTCACTGCAACGGACCATGTCCCTGGACCGCTTAAGAACCTTGCAGCAGCTACACGTGCTGCATGAGTGGCAAGTCAAATGCCCCATGCAGGTTCTAGCACCCTAAGCACATTACAGACCAGCTCCGCATTATCTTTCCAGCATCCTTTTCAGCAAAGCCTTGGACCATACTTGGATCCTCCAAGTATGGTTCAAGGCTTAGCCGAGGAGAAATCTGATGCGGATAGCTGTTGTTAAGTGCTGCAGTGGCTGGTAGAAGAATTTAGAGTAACTTGCTAGGAGCGTCTTCAGTAGAAAAATAAAAAGGATGCACTTCTCTCAGAGCAGGGAGAAGGTGTCCATCACTCAAGAACACTAGCAAAAAAACTGGGGCAGGCTGGAAGTGGGAGGAGTTATACGGGGCTGTCCTTACAGCTTTGATTTGCCAGTGTCCAATCACCTGAAGGCAACTGCATAACCCATCAATTCAAGATTTAACGCTCTGTGTTTTGTGATGTATGATCAAGAAATGTGTAGTCTTGGCCAAAGGTTTTCAGAATGACACAAATATTAATTTTCATAAAGTCTGCTGCTTCAGTGTTTTAGGATCTTCTTGTCAAATGTTACTCTGGTATACTGAAGTATAATTACAAGCATTTCATAAGTGTCAAAAGGTTTTTATTGACAATTACATTAAGTTTATGCAAAGAGTCAATATTTGCAGTGTTGACCATTTTTATTCAAGACCTCTGCAATTCGCTCTGTCATGCTGTCAATCAACTTCTGGGCCACGTCCTGACTGAAGGCAGCCCATTCTTGCATAATCAATGCTTGGAGTTTTGTCAGAATTTGTGGCGTTTTTTTTGTTCACCCGCCTCGAGGATTGACCACAAGTTCTCAATGGGATTAATGTCTGGGGAGTTTCCTGGCTATGGACCCAAAATTTCAATGTTTTCTCCCCCAAGCCACTTAGTGATCACCTTTGCCTTATGGCAAGGTGCTCCACCATGCTGGAAAAGGCATTGTTCCTCACCAAACTGTTCTTGTTGCTCTTGGAGGATGTTTTTGTACCATTCTTTATTCATGGCTGTGTTCTTAGGCAAAATTGAGAAGCAACCCCACACATGAATGGTCTCATGATGCTTTAATGTTGGCATGACACAGGACTGATGGTAGTGCTCACCTTTTCTTCTCCGGACAAGGTATTTTCCGGATGCCCCAAACAGTCTGTCCGATATTCGTAAGATTGATGGGCAGTGTACAACCGCAAATTCTGTACAATCGATCGACTTTTGACTAACCAACAGGTTAGAAAACTTTGGTCGATCATGCGATTTTCGCAAGCTTGGTGGCGTTTGTACGATTCGTACGATTTACACTGCTCATGCGCAAACATCCAGGTGTTTTTCTTGAATTACTGCTGCTTGAACTGTGCGATGGTCAAGACAGGATGGGGCCGCTGTACGAAAATCCTACGACGGTTCGATCATCAGACGAAAAGTTTCGTCCAATGATCGCAAGGTATGTGGGCAGCTATATTCTAACTCAATCAGGATAACAGAGTGTTCTCCAGCCTTGTCCTCATCAACACTGACAGCTGTGTTAATGAGAGAATCACTGATATGAGGTCAGCTGGTCCTTTTGTGGCAGAGCTGAAATGCAGTGGAAATGTTTTTTTGGGGGATTAAGTTCATTTTCATGGCAAAGAGGGACTTTGCAATTAATTGCAATTGATCTGATCACTCTTCATAACATTTTGGAGTATATGCAAATTGCCATCATACAAACCGAAGCAGCAGACTTTGTGAAAATTAATATTTGAGTCATTGTCAAACCTTTTGGCCAGGACTGTAAACACAGAGGACACCAGACTTAAGCCTAAGTGAAGAAATACAATTTATTAAAAACACAAGTGGTATAGCACTAAAATATAGCAATCTATACACAACCTATACAAAAGTGAAAAAGTAACCAACTACCCATGTACAAATAGAGAAGGGGAAACATGAAAAAGCAGGGTTAGACAGGAGTAAAAAGGTAACCGGGAACAAGGCACTTCAGAGGAAGAAAAATATCACTGCTCCAATTCCCATTTAGGCCAATTCCCAAGGCGACACCTCACCGTGCGGCAATCGTGCACGATTCCGCACGGTCAGGATTTATCAAAACTGGGGGAGACAAAATCTGGAGCATGTGTGTGCATGGCAACCAATCAGCTTTTATTTTCAATGCTTAACTGAACAAAGTGAAGAGAAATGTGGATCAGTTACTATGGGCAACTGCTCCAGATTTGGTCTGCTCCAGTTTTGATAAATTCCCCCAATGGGGAAATATGTTTTTTTAAACTGGAGCAGTTGCTCATAGTAACCAATCAGCTTGTCCCTTTAGTTTGTTCAGTTAAGCTTTGAAAATTAAAGACTGAAGCTGATTGGTTGCCATGGGCAACTTCTCCACATTCTGTCTGCTCTAGCTTTGATACATTCTCCTCATTGCATTTCATTTGTATTTCCATTTCACTCAACACATTCAATACCACATAAAATAATAAAAGGTTATTGTAAGACGTTTAATGTTACATACTAACCCCAATTTGAGCTGTAATGTGTGTGCATCCCACAATCCTGGCTCCTGCTAGAGGCTTTTCTCCCTGTGCTCTCTTCCTTAAGGAAATCAGAGCTGTCATTTCTGGATGCAATGAAAAAAAAAACACAAAAATGAACAGAATGCTAGCTTCAAATAACCCTTTAGCCTATCACTCTAGGCAACAAACAAACTTGTTCAATAAACGGTGCATTTTTGTGCTTACTGTGAAATCCTTTTCTCAGAGTCCACTGAGCGACACAGCTCCAAAGAATTTTGAGACGTAGAGTTATGCTGCTGCCTCTAGGAAAAAATGGACGCTAGGCAAATAAAAGCCTGTCACTTTAAGGCCATGATCCCTCCCACCTCAGACCTGCAAATTGTAGCAAGTAGTACAGAGGAACTTAAAAGGAGAACTATGAGGCGGGTGCTTTTCACTCACCTCATAGTTCTAGCCGACCTGTGACAATGAGACTGTCACAGGTCGGCTCAGTAGATCGGGAGGTGAGCGAACACATATCGGGTTCGCTCACCTCTCGATCCTGTCACGGCTCTCTGCCGTGACAGTGGGGGGGCTGGATTCCCCTCTCCCCGCTCCGATCCGCCAGCGCTGACGGGCGGAACAGACGGGGGAGGGAGCGGGTACAGCTGGCTCTGCCTCTAGATAGCCAGAGCCAGCTGTCACTCACGCAGCTCGGCGGATCTCTACATCGATGTCAGTATCCGCTCCGGCGTCTCAGTATACCGCAAGCTGTAGCTGTAGCTCGCGGTATACTGAGCCTAGGGTGAAGGGAGGACGCTAGTTTGTGTCCTCTCGTTACCCTAAGGAGAACTATGGTGAAAAGCCCTGACCCCATAGTTCTCCTTTAAGAGGAGGGAGCTGTGTCACTCAATGGACTTCAAGAAAAGGATTTTACGGTAAGAACTAAATCCTATTTTCTCTACATCGTCCATTGAGGGACACAGCTCTGAAGAATTCTGAGATGCAGGGATGTTCAAAAGCAGTCCAAAACTGAGAGGCAGGCACCACAGTAACTAAAGCACTAGCTCAGCCAAATAATGCACTGTCAAAGTATTCTTAAACAGCTGCCTGAAAAATATTTCTGCCAAAACTAGCTTTAGAGGAGGAAAAAACAGCAATTTTATAAAACTTTGCAAGAGCGTGAACAGAAGACCAAGTTGCAGCCTTGCAATTTTTAATAACAGAAGTTTGATTTTGAAATGTCCAAGAAGTACTAACTGCTAAAAGTATGAGCAGATGTCTGACCCCTTATGGTACTTAGAGCTAAACAATGATCTACCCCGAGATGAAGTAAAAAACAAAACTTGCACTATAGAAGAGCAGTGTGGAAAACCCTAAGAATTCACACCAATGCAAATAAACCTTCCATGTACATAAAAAAATTTAACGTAGGATTTTTTTGCACTCACTGTAAAATCCTTTTCTCTGTGTACATTGAAGGATACTTGACTAGATCTTGCTCTCTGCATTGGTACTTGCAGGAGTAGGACCCTAGGCACAAAAAAAAGAAGGCATTGGGGGTGGCTCCTGCTGGTGGCCACACCCGCATCCAGAGCAGCTCAGTTGGTCACAGAGGAGTAGAACTAAGGCACAAAAAGACCCAAAGAAGGGAGGGTGCTGTGTCCTCCAATGAATGCAGAGAAATTGATTTTACAGTGAGTACATAAAAATCCTATTTTCTCTTTTGTTCATTGATCTCTCTATCAATGAGACGTCTCAAAAGCAGTGTCCACCGAGGGCGGGAATAATAAAAAACTCCGGCTCACACAAACTAAGCAGTCGCCTTTAAAACTTTGCGACCAAAGGAAACATCCGCAGAAGCATGTATGTAAAACGCGTTCAATAAAAAGGTAAAAACTATGGATGCACCGATACCATTTTTTTAAGACCAAGTACCAAAACTATTCTTCAAAGTTCTCGCAGATACCAATTACTGATACCTTGTAGGGCTGCAACAACTAAAATCGACATAATCGATTATAATCGATGCTTGAAAAAGTTGTCAACTTTTTCAATCATCGATTAACCGGCTTCCGATTAGTTCGCCCTGTTCACAGCTCCACACACGCTGCGCGCCGCAGCTCCTCCCCACCTCACGCTCGCCGCTGCCAGACCCGCCCGCATCCACGCTCCACCCGCCGCACCACCCGCCCACATCCACGATCGGCACAGGGACGAGGGCAGAAGAAGTGTTGCATTCATTGCTGTATAATTTTACACTTCTCATTTCACTATATTGCACACCACACTTTTTTTTTTCATTTTTCTTTTTTACTTCCACCACTCCAAGCTTGCTCCTGTGATGGACTGCAATCTCAATACAAACTAGTAGTCCCATCACTGGAGCCAATTTTTAAAATGTATTTTATCCGATTAATCGAACTGAATAATCGGCTAACTAATCGATAATGAAAATAATCGTTAGCTGCAGCTCTAATACCTTTATTGTGTCATGTGACAGTTTTTCTAAATAAATACAGACTCATGATTTTAGGACAGCGATGGAGCGCCAGGGCCCAGTCACAGCTGCAACCCTGCTAGTTCTGCCACTGACTCCAAGCTGTAGAAGGACTGCCAATCCCAGCAATACATTATACAGCAAAGCAGAATACCACCAGATATAGAGGACTACAAATCTCAGCAATACATTATATAGCAATGCAGAATATCATAAGCTATAGAGGACTACAAATCCAAGCAATATATTATACAGCAATGCAGAATATGAAGCCACATACTCTTGTGTTGCTCACCAGGGCTGCGTGTGGGGAGCAGATATGCGGCCGGACCAGCGCTGTAAACAGTCGTCGCGAGGTCCCCATCAATCAGCTTGTGTTTAAAATTTTAAAGTACTTGTAAAAATGCCTAGTATCTGCATCGATACCAATGCTAGTACAGGTAACGGTGCATCTCTAGTACAAACCAAGGAATTCAAGGCTAACAGACGCTGGCAAAAGATTGCCAATGCCAAAACCTGACCTTTAATGTCAAGAAAAGGCTAAAATCTGAGCAACTGAAAAGGCACGAGGAGAAATACTAAGCCCCTCACACCAAGAAATGCAAGCTTTCCAGGTTCGAGAATATAATTTCTGAGAGGTAGACTTAAATGCTTTAAGCATCGCAGGGATCACAGATTCAGACAAGCCCCTATCTCTTAGCATCTGGCTTTTATTAGCCATACCATTAAAGCCAGAAACTAAAACAGGATATAAGATGGGACCTTGGGACAAAAGTCCGGTCGCAGAGGAAGTCAACAGGGGATGTCTACAACTAGCCTACCACATCTGTTTACCAAGGGCATCAAGGCCATGCAGGAGCCACCAGAATCCCTTTGAGTTCTACTCAACATGGAAGAAGTTTTAAGGGAGGAAAGGCATAAATGAGATTCTACCTGTCCCACGGAGCCACCAAGGCATGTGTCGCATCCAGTTCTGCACCTTCTGATTGAATCAGGAGGCCAGAAGATCCACGGCTGGAGTCCCCCATTTCTGACAAATCAAAAGAAAAACTTCTGGATGTAGAGCCCATTCTCCTTGATTTAAGAATTGACAACAGGTAATCTGCCTGTCAATTGACTACTCCTGGAATGTAAACAGCAGACAGAGCTGGTACACATGTTTCTGCCCAATAAAGAATGTCAGAACCCTGTACTGAGCTCTGGCTAGGCTCCTCATACCTCGTTGATGACTGACATATGCGACCGCAGTGGACTGAATCCTGCCCGGGTGTCCCCATAGTAGAGCCATGCAATGTAAAAGAGAGTTTAATCGCACGCAACCTCCAGTTCATCAGAGCAGGTGAACTGAGCAATCAAGCCAAGCTAGCTTCGGCTGTCCCGTTTATCTGCATTTGTCTGTCCAGTGAAGAGGGTGACTTGTCCCATTGTTGAAGAATCTCTCTCTACAGAATCAGAGTATGGTATCGCGCACATGGTACTGCCTCAAACGAGGCAAACAATTAGATACATAACTCTCATATAGGTGCGAATCATTACCCATTTGCAAAGAAGCAGTGCCTGAATTTTAAGCCGAAGCCTGTGAATCTTTTCCAGAGGAAGAAAAAACGTGGCCTGATACATGTCCAGGATCAGTCTCAGACACTACAGGTGAAGGGATGGAATCAAGGACAATTTTCTGAAATTCAGGATCCAAACAAACTCCTCTACAGTACGCATGGTGATCAGAAGATTCATTTCCAGATCTGACTGAGAATCTGCCTGAAAAAAGGAAGTTGTCCAAGTAAGCCACCACCAATATACCCAGCTGTCTCAAAAAGGCAAGGACCGGTGGCAAAACTTTGGTAAATACCCGTGAGGCTTAGACAAGGTCAAACAGAAGGGTCACAAATTGAAAATTGCCCTCCCCCACCATGAAGTGTAGGAAACGCCGATGAGCCTGACAAATCAGAACATGGAGGTAAGTATCCTTAATGTCTACGGACAACAGGAAATCCCCCTGATGAAGAGTAGCGATCACTGAGCAGGTAGACTCCATTTGAACTTGCAGACCTTGACAAAGATGTTCAGGGCTTTGAGATCCAAAATCCGACGAATTCCATCTTTTTTGGACATGTGAAAAAATCTGAATAATATCCTTTGTCCCAATCCTACCATTAGAAAAATTCAATGATTCCCATTTGAACCAGATTCCTTACAGCTGACCATAAATCATGTAAGTGAATCTGAGTTAATTGGAGGTTTAAATGAAAGAAGCGAGCTAGAGGAGGAGAATGAAACTCTATTTTGTATTGCGATAAAGCCAGTTCGCAAACCCAGCTGTCTGAAATTTGAGACAACCACAGGTCCACAAACAGAGAACGTGTCCCCCCATTTTAGCTGGGCAGATGGGGAAAAGCTCTCGTGTGGAATAAATCTTCTGAGCGGACTTGGAGGACCTAGACTGCCAAGACCTCTTCTGATCACTGGAGAAGCTGGAATTTTGACTTGCATCTGAGTATCTGTGTGGGCGAAAAATACGTTTGTGAGGCTAAAAGGAAGGGCCGTGTTTACGCCCAGGTTCTTTACCTTTCTTAAGATGTGGTAAAAATTTGCTCTTACCGCACATGATATTTTTTTATTACATCATCCAGCGTCGCCCCAAACAAATGATCACCCTTCAATGGTAAATCGGTTTTCTTAGGAGTCTTGTCAGCTGACCAGCATTTAAGCCACAATAAATGGTGAAGAATGACAGCCAAAAAAGAAATTCTGGAAATAAGAGGTCCAGTATCCAGCGAAGCGTTACACATATGGAAGACAATTAATTGAGCCACCAGTTCCACATAGACATGAGAAACATGTTCACTCTCCAGTCCCTGATGCAAAAGTTTGGGCCACTCTGTGAGAGCGTTTGGGATACAAGGACTGTGGCCAAAAGAGGATGTAAAGTTGTGTACATAGATCTCACTACTGATCTCTCTTTCCTGTGTATTGGATCTTTGAAAGGAGGGGCTTTCTTGACTAGAATCACAGTAGTCTTATTCAGCTTAGACACTGGTGAGTCTAGGACAATAGGAGGAGACATCCATTTTTTTATTTATTTTTTTCATTTAATAAAATCCTTTTTAAAAAAGATAACACTTTTGAAGTACAAAGGAATATAGGTTCTTACTTCTTGACGCTTGGCAAACTGAGCTACCTTGGATGGGGGTGTGGCCATCTGCAGGAGCTGCCCCCAGAGCTGTGCTTCTTTTTTGTGCCTAATAGGAGGCTAATAGGCAATATGTGCAATGGCATTACAGCCAATATACAGTAGCTTTTTCATTTTTATATTTTAGAGCTGCACTTCTGCTTGAAAGAATGAAGAATGTAATATGCAAGTTGTTATCAATGCATATCTAATTACTGGTCCTTTGTTGAAAATACTCAATATTATTGTTTATCAGGCTTAGTTTAATCTAATTTTAAGATAAAGACATGTTATATATCACAAGAGTTAAATCTGTGTCTACATTGCATGTTCAAACCTTAATACCATAAGTAACACCTTAATACCATAAGTAACAACAGGTTAACAGATGTTTACTCTAAAAGTATATAATGAGTTCGGACATTCTACAGAAATTCTTAAAATTACTCTTTAACTAAACCCAATGGATTTTAGTAGACTAAATCTACTGTAGATTTAGTCAACTAAAATCTTATGATATTTAGTCGACAAGACTAAAAACAATTCAGATGACTAAAATATGGCTAAAACTAAAAATGGTATTTTAGTCAAAAGACTAGGACTAAAACTAAATCGGAAATTGAAGTCAAAATTAACACTGATTTGCTTAGTGTTCATTTCTCCTAGAGGCAGCAGCATAACCCTACATCTCAAAATTCTTCAGAGCTGTGCCCCTCAATGAACAATAGAGAAACAAATGAAAGTATATTATCTATAAGTAACCAACCAGAATCTACTGAAAATACCAAAAGTAAACATTTTAAAAAAATGGTTGCTGTGGGTTAATGCCCTTTGCACTTGCTTTGCTCCTTGCATCACTCACTAAATAAGGAGCCTTAGTGATCCTAAATCTTCAACTGAATTGTCAGTTACCTTGTTCAGCAATTTCAACCTCACGTCGACCAAACTCAGCCTGCTTAATATTCTTGACACAAAAATCGCTGCTGCCTTTTGAAGCGGTTTGTTGTTTGTCTCTAGGGGATAACTCATCATCTGAGCTGTCTGTGTAAGAGGCAACTACAAGAGGAATGAAAACCGAATTATACTTTTGATAAATAGTTGTACAGTAATTTTGCATGTAGGCAGATTATGCAAATGTGTTATTAAAAGACAACCATCATAGAAATAAGAGCACATTATTGGTCACAGTATTTCGTTTTGTTCAGTTATGTATTTAAATGCCAATACATCCTACTATTTGTTTTTGCGCATTAATACTTCTTTTCTGTTATTGGTTACAGATGGAGGAAGCCCGGGGGAATGAGGAAAAAGATGTGTATATCACCTTATTTATTATCCTCTAGACCAGTGTTTCTCACCCTTTTTTCAGTCATGGCACTTTTTAAAAGTATGCAAAATCTTTTATACTGCATGATCTTAGCGCAACTGTTGATTATCAAACCCAAAATTTCAGTAAAAAAATTGCATTTAATTTTAGTGCGCAAATACACAATATAATACCTATTTTTTGCCATAGTTCTCTTTAGGGTCACAGGAGAACACAACAGTCTCCTGATGTGGGTCTATCAAGTAACAATCATCAGTGCAAAATTATAGCTAATTTGCCTACAAACGTCAGGTGGTCATAATAATCTGGCCACTCAGTGTATATAAGATAGGGTAAAACAGCACAAATTAGTGGAATGTAATTAGTAATTTGGGAAGAAAATGAACCGGCAAAATAGAAAACCTTGCCTGAATTAATTTTTTTAATTTGCAACAGGACTGTCTGCATGCCTCTGACATGAGAAACTGAGAGACTAAAACACTTGTTTACGTAAAAGAACTGGCCCAGTAAGACATTGGGATAGATCGTACATGTGCATCCAACCATATATTATGGTCTATGGCTAACTTAATTACAAAGCATTAGATCATTCCAGAATATTTGGTGCATTGCACAAATTATATGTAAAACAAGTCATAAGCAAGAAAAAGATAAACATTACTCCAATGTTATTTCTTACCCTTAAAATGCCTCATAAAAGTATTTTTCAATAAATAATATTTTGAAATTCACACTAACACATGCATTTTACTGTTTTGTTAAAAACCCACCAGAACTGTAGCTGTCAGTGGATGACTGAGAGATGGAGCGGGACAAGGATCTGCGTCCTGTTTTAGTGGGAAACTTGCTGAACTCTTGCATGTCATCTGCGAACTGAATCTGTTTTGGGAAACAAATGGATTTTGAGACATGAAGCAAGCCAGAACAGGAATACATACAGTGCAGTGGGCCTGATTTAGGTACAGTAAACCTGTGTGCACCAAAAACATCTAATCGTGGGCAGAGGAATTTGAACAGTACTGACATTCTACTTTATATGACTGGAAGATTGAAGTTAATATTCATCACCTCCCTAAATTACAGGTTACATTCACACCGCCACAGTTTTAAATTTTTGTTCTCACAGTAAAAGTGAGACACAGTTACGCCAACTATACTGTCTGAATTTTGTCCGGTTCTTGATGCTCTGTCACAACCTGCCAATCAGCTGCCGTCACTGATTGGGTGTTCCAATAGTGGCACCCCTGCCACTGAAAGAATACAAAGCACACAGCAGGAGATTCGTCCTGTTAGCGTGGATGGAGGAGCCGTTATATTTTTCCCTTCAGTCCGCAGATTAAAGGAAAAATATATAAAACAGAGTATACCCAGCTTTAGACTCATTACACATACAGTAGATGTGGTTTATGCTACCATCAAAAGGAAGCAACCCCTGGGTGCACTAAAAGCCTGTGGTTTACCTCTGCTAGAGAGTTTAGTTAGCAGCAAAAGTACCAGGAGGAACAAACTCTCAACAAGGCAAGAGGTTGAACAAACCGCAATGCGGATGCTGGGTCTCCCATTGAACTAATTTTATGGTGACAAAAATTTTATTTTCTCTTCTGTTCAATAAAAGACACTAAAAGATAGATTTGTTAAAATTGTGAGACGTCCATGAGCAGTATCCATGAGAAGCATATAGGAGGGGGAAAAAAAACACCAAAACAACAATAACTGGTTCCAAGCCCAATAGCGTAAATCGTACCCCCCACAAAATCTTGTGTCATGGCTGGCATCTGCCGATGACTAAAAACCTTGTAAAACTTAGTACTATTATGCACAAAGGATCTGGTCACCGCCTTGCATACTCAGGACACCAAGCCTTGGTTTCAAACGTCCAAGATGCACTGACTGCTCTACTAGAATCAGCAGACACTGGAAAGGGCAGTTCTTTGTGTTTCAGAGTATAAGCCTGGTAAACCACCCAGCAAATCCATGTAGACATGGTAGAGGCCACCATATTCCAATGGAAACCTTCTGGAATAAACAAGGCACCTCTGTAGCAGGGACAGGAGCTGGACAGAATGAAGGTAACACAATCCCCTCATTTAGATGAGACACCAATTAAAGAAGAACTCTGGGCAAAACTTTTCTTAATCCTTGCAGTGGGGCTAAGCTCATTTTGGTCTAGATGCAAAAATAACAACGTTATACTCACCCTATCCCTGGAGCTGGCTGGTTCTTAGAACGGTACTTCCAGCCTGTTTCCCCCTGTGCTCCAGCGGTCGAAGGTCCTGTGAGTCATCATGTCCAACACATGGTGTATAGGACGTGAGGATGCTGAGTGGCATAGCATTGCTGTAGCAGAGCAGGAAACAGGCTATCCAAGATCTACAAGTGCTAGGTGGCTGGGGACACTATAAGAATCTAGAATACCCAGAATGTCACACTGCCAGTTGTTAATTGAAGGCCAATAACTGAGAAACAAAACCCTGAAATTCCAAAAAAGCAGCGAGCAGAGAAGCTGAGGAGGTATCCATCCTCCTGGGACTCTACGAAAAAAACTAGCAGAGATGAGGTTATGTGTCCTGGCCACCTAGTTTGCTTTAAGTGCACCTAGCACCTTCCTTCAATAGATGGCAGCATAAACTCAATCTAATGTCTAATGAATCTGACAGTGTCTCTTGACGAACAGTGGAGAATTGTTTCGGTTTCCTGAGTCTTAGGTGTGATTTCCAGGAAATTGCACCCTACATAGAAATGGATAGTAACACGTGCATTTAACACTCACTGTCCACAATTGTACTGCGCAAAAAAATAATAAATTTGTGAATGTTGTAAAATCAGGCTAAATTCATTTTACCTGTACCCTAAAATGTAGACTAAAAATATAAAAATATGCACCTTTCATTAAAAAAGAAATGCCAAAGGAGTACACTTTTGTATGGTTTATCATTTATACAAATCGGCATTCCAAGGGAATAAAACAATATAACACAACAGAGTCAACGCATACAAGACAAGATTAAAAGCAATGTCTAACTATTGGCTCCTTTTAATTCAAAACAAATACCAATATATTTATTGTAAGGATTACTATATTTTACTCAGGAAATAGCAATATATAGGGATGTAAAATGGTACACCTATGTGACCTGGGTTTGTTACCAGGTGGGCAAAATTATTGTAGTCAGAAAAATGATTTGCCAAGATTGCCAATTTAGGCATTTATTCGGATTTAACACTAGATATAGTCATATAACAAAAATGATGCAAGCATTCAAAATAGTAGTCCTGAGTTCTTTCATTTTAACAGTCATGAATGAGGATGAGGGCTCACACTGGTCAGAACAGACACGACAAGCAGAAGTCTTTTTTCCCCCTATAATTATTGTGCTGCTGTACCAGCAAATGTTAGAGGCAATGCATCCAAGACAGCAAGTCTTTTACCCAAGTTGCATATCAGCACTATTCTGCTTGCAAGAGTAGATGTAACACATGTCCCTATATCAAACTGGATCTAGTGACATGCTGGAGAAATCAGGAACTTAAAGTGGACCTTTACCCATATCTTTAAAATAACAACAAACACACCATTAGAAATGTTTAGTAATGACAATCTACAAACATATATTTATAGTTAATTGCACACTTTGTATTCTTTGCATACCTTATTTCTCTTCTTTTCCCCAGTCTTCTGACAGTGGCCATGTTTACTAAGGGCAGAATACTGGATCTCCTATTACTTCCTTGATCTCTGGCACATGTGACTAGACATGTGACCATGCACATCATCCCAGGGGAGGAAAATGCTTTTCCCTGAGATATCATGAGATTACAGATGAGATTTCCCAGCAATGCTCTGCTGATGACAAGGCAATCCCAGTGTGCACTACGTTGGCAAATTGAAGTCATTTGCCCTTTCAAAGCAGGAAGTGAATGCTCTGCAAGTGTAATTATTTCAAAATCACAGCATTTTACACCTGACATGTCTATTATTAATTATCATACATACAGGGATGCATTGGTAGAATTTGATTTTTGAGTGTAAAGTTTTACATTCTCTGCAGATTAATATGCAATTGATTTCTAGTTACATTATTAATTATCATACATACAGGGATGCATTGGTAGAATTTGATTTTTGAGTGTAAAGTTTTACATTCTCTCCAGATTAATATGCAATTGATTTCTAGTTACATTTCTTTAGAGTAAGCACACCTATTTGCGGCCTTAAAGGCAAAGTCACACATAAATCAGTTTAAATGTTCTGATGCTCTGGACTGATGGACAGGTTTATTCAGCGGAGCAAAAGATGAAAAACATACTTCACTGTTAACCCACATGGACTGCAGTGTGTACTAGCTGTATATCTTCTAACACATGTTGAGGTATAGGAAACTATAACAATGAACAATGGAACAGAAGTTCAATTCAACAAAGGTGAACAACACTACTCCTTTCATAAGTCACCTCCAGTGTATGGACATATTTTTTCTGTCTTATTCTCACCAGCTCACTGCTCAGTTTTCTTCCCCCTACAGCTGTCACTGATTTACTATTTATTTTCTCCCTAAATAAGCTACTGGAGCGCAGATGGCGCTCCAATAGCTTATTGGCCAGCTTCTGCAACCGAACATTGACAGTAAAGGGACCGGAAGTGATGCAATCAGCGTCACTTCCGGTCCCATACAGTGGAGGAGAGGAGATCAGTGAACGGACATTCACCGGTCTCCTTCCTCCTGCCAACCCGAGATCCCAGTCCCAGGCTCCCAGGTGGAGCAGCGGAGCCCGGGAAGCAAGGCGGGGGATGTCGGGTGTGGGGGAGGCGCGTATTGCACCGGCCCCTGGAAGCGATCTGGTGGCAGCGCAGCCGCCAGAATTGCTTCCAGTGTAGAGCCGACAGTCGGCTTTACACATGTAAACAGACTCCTAGCGGCTGAGTCTGTTCAAAGGGGCCAGCTGGCTGCTGCCAGCAACGTATAAGATATGCCCCTGGCAGCGAAAGTAATCCAACCAAACCTTTTCTATGTAGTTTTGGATTGAGTGGGGAAGGGTTAGAGTGGGGAAGCTATGTCTGCATAGCTTTTGAGGAGATATTTCTGTCAGTTTTTAAATGCTATACAGTTTTAAATGCTATACAGTATTATACAAGTGAAACTGCACCACTAAGTGTGCAAGACAAGCAATGAACCACAAAAGGTTTAAGCAAAAAAAACTTTCCTTCCTGTTATACACTGTCTGCACCACTATAAATAATGCACAGTTCTATTAACGAATACAAAAATGCTTTATTTCTTAGGACAATATGGAGGAACAAAATTACCAAAAGTCCATGTGGAAGAAAGCACGTTATAAAAAACACTTAAACGTGCATATCTCCCTAAAAGACACCCAGTAAAAAAGCCAGCAAACACAGGTGTTTAAATGGACACCTGAGCTGGATAATCCAAGTCATATATATATATTTTTTTAATGAATTTACTTTACTAAAACCCCTATGCCGCTGTCCAGCCATCCACCTCCCAATCCCTTAGCAGAGTGGCAGACGGCATTTGATCCCCAGCCGCACTGGCCAGGAGAACAAAAGCTGCATGCTCAAATATCTATAGCAGCACACACAAGCACCTTTGGATCCTCTGTTGCACTGGCCGGGAGATCAAAGGCTTACAGGAGGCACTAAACAGCAGGGTGCCTGGCACTTGGGCACCAGGACCTGTGTTTCTGCCACTGGTGGCCCCCCAGCAACAAAGGCCATGATCCCAGCGGCCACACCGTCATCAGGGGGCGAGGCTGGTTGCTGAGCAACCAGCCTGCATTTGCCTTTGTACCTCCCCTCTCGTGCCTGTGCCTCTCACAGCCTTTTAAAATCTGTAGGAGGGCTTGGGAGGCAATTCCTC